TGGGGGGGGGGGGTGTGGAAGAGAGTAGTGTTTGCCACTTGCTCTTTGAGCGTTGACACTATGCTACTCTGGCCTCCTTATTAGACTGCGGCTTTGAGGGAGAAATACTATCAATGAAAGACCTAGTGGAGGTACATTCCAATAAATTACACTGCAAGTGGAGAGAGTTACACTGCAGGCATGAGTGTAAAGTCAGAAATACTGATATCAAGAAAGCATGCAATAAGCTAGAACAATCAGTCAGTCACAATCTTTGATTTTATTGTAAATCATTCAGCTGTCATGGAAATGACCAGACAGAAAACCGCACATTCTCTTCAAAAATAAATATTTAAGTTCTGGGACCATTGAAATTTGAACCAAAATGAGAAGGGGAGCTACAGAATTTAGAAAACAAACAAACAAAAAAAATGTAAGCCTTGCTGTACTCCCTGTTCGTAGCTTCGGTGCAGAGGAAGTGCCATCACGAAAAGGAAGCTAGTTACATTTGATCAGACACGTATTCTTAAAAATAGGCATGGAATTGCACTTTTATGAAAATGCCAGAGCCAAGTCCTCTGGGGACGCATGTGCATGTTTCAGTGCTGCTGCAGCTCTTTCATTCTGTTCAGGGCACTGCCAGCCTTAAACCACTCAATCTGTGTCTCATTGAAGGTGTGATTCAGTATGATGGTCTCCTCACTCCCATTGGGATGTTTGATGATGCATTTCAAAGGCTATGGGGGAAGCAAGAGATCAGTGCATTTCTTCCCCCCCGCCAATCATGGAAAGACCCTTAATAATGTAGCTGTTCACTAGAAAGTCTCTGACCCTACTCCACTAAAAGCTACTTAACCTGTTTTCAAAGTGGGTATAAAAACACTGAGACCCTGATGTAGGAGGAAGCCACCCATTATGGTCAGCACACTTCATCTCTATGGACCACCAGTCCACTTTACTAGGCCTCTCTCTATTGTTCAGAGGGATTAATATTCCCTCCTCTACTTTTAGATGTCAGAGCTTTCCTCCAGCTCCTTAATGCTTGTAAATAATGCCCATGTAGGCAGAGCTCTGCTACAATGAGAAGCATGCTCTTGTGAGATCTCATCCAGTTACCTTTCCAGGTGCAAAATCTTTCAGGCCCACTATGCTCAGCTTATCCACAGGGTGGATCTTGTTGTAGTCAGCTGGGTCAGCAAAAGTGAGAGGTAATAGGCCTTGCTTCTTCAGGTTGGTTTCTGGGAACAGAGATGCAGATAGACAGTCAGGTTCAGAGGCCATCACAGAAGCTTCTAAGATTGGCTCATGGGGTAACTAGTTTGATATTTTACATGATGCAATATTGTGTACCAATTGTGCTCACTGCCACTCAGGGCCCAGCAGCTCACTAGCCACAGAGTATAGTTCATTCAGCAGCTTTAACTTAATTTAGGCAAGTGAAACAAGATGATGCCTCAAATTACTGGACTGCTCACCAACTATTGGGAGGCAAATCCTTCTCGCTCCTCCTGTCTCCCAATACATTACCGGAAGAAGAAAGAGTAATTGCCAGTCTTTTGGGCCTATAGGCCCACTTCTGGTTGATCCAGGGTACTTGAGTGCAAAAGGCTTGTGAACCCACCTGGCACTACAACCCCTAACTTAAGACCCAGTGCATTAAAATACTTTCCTAGACATTTTGGCCACTGGGAGGGTAGCCCCACCATAATCCCATCCCTGTCCTTTTCCATTGCAAGTCCTACTGAAGATTGTTAAAAAGTGAGTGTTACTTCAGACCTGAGGAAGGACCTCCGATGGCTGAAAGCTTGTCCAACAGCTTTTCCAGCCATACAGTTGGTTCAAAAAGAGACCGCATAAAAGCAGCCTTGCCTCAAAATCTTTAAAGGTTCATGCACGCAAACTAAAGTGGCAGTGGAATTTCAATTTTGAATATATAAAGGATGGTTAAAGAGGATGGGTTCAGTTTCTGGACCCATGAGGAACAGCAATGGGCAGCAACAGAAATTCAGGTTGGCCATTAGAACTTTCTAACCAGGATAGTGGTTAAACACTGGATCAGACTGCACAGCCTCCCTAAGTCATCTCTATCAAGGCAAATTTAAGGGCAGGTTAGACAAAAATGTGATCATTAAGACAGGTATATTTCTGCCTAAACCAAGGTGTTGGTCTAGATCAGGGCCATCCAACTTCCCCCATGGATGGCGGATTGCATGCTACGGTGTCCGTATGTTGTAGGGGTGGCCCTCCCAGGACCCTATAGCCACATGGCACAGGTCTGGCAGTGTGCAACTCTCTGCCCCCACTCTACAAGCTACTACACAGCTGTAGGAGGGGCCTATGAGTTACCTGTTGAACAGCCCTTGGCCAGGTGACCTACTGAGGTCCCTTCCAGACTTTCATTTCTAGGATAGCATTACCATTACATTTACTTCCTTTACTTGTGACACCCCACTCCTCTCTCGTACAACCAATCAAGAAATCCAAGCAAGGGCTGGTAGCCTGAGTTACCATCTTCCTTCCCCCTACACATGTAGGTGGAAAGCATTAGCATTTAACTAATGTTTTTAACCTGAAAAGTTGGGCAAGCATCATGTAGAGGAGGACAGCAGTTATGAGGCACTAAATCAACTGGGATAGTTTAAAACTCGGCCATTTTTATCCCCATGAGAAGTGATCATCACTGAAATTACTGTAGGGGGAAGAGACTGTTCCACTGGCTGTCTCCTCTACCTACAGGAGGAGAAGCAGGGAACACTGTACTTCTGGCAAACTGCTTTTATAATCCCTTTGTCTGGTCTGCTCATTGAGGCATGGATTGCCTTCGATTCCAGGTCTTCAGTTCTTAGTAACCCCTCCCCTGCACTACTGGATAATAAAAATTAGCAAAAAGTGGGATACTGGTAAGATGTAAAGCCACATATGCTGACAAAGACTCCTGATGAGATGGCCCACTGAAGCTGGTTCAGCAGATGCTCTTCTTTTTCCTGCCCTAACTACTCAAAACTTAAAGGAAACAGGGCTTCTAGTTCAAAGCCAACACAATCCTCCCTTATGCACCAGTCAGTAGGTACCCAGGAGCTACTGGGAGCACTCACCATGGATCCTGGCAAAGCTCTTGGTGATGATAACTCTGCCTCCCAAGTGACGTGGTTCTAGAGCTGCATGCTCCCGACTTGATCCCTCACCGTAGTTTTCATCTCCAACAACCACCCACTTGAGGCCCATTTTCTGGAGCCAAACGCAACACAAAAGTAGTCAAAAGAAAGTTAAGGCTATCAGATAAAGCACTCAGAGGCTTGGATATGCCAGAGGGAAAAAACTTAATGTGCACATATTTCCCATCCTCAGTGCTCTAGTAAGAAAGCTCAGGTGGGCAGGCAATCTGTCCCAGAGGGCTCCCCTGAAGCCCTGCGCTGTTATGTCCCCCATCATACAAAATGTTATGAGAGACCTCATTACGTTTGGCCAAGAGGGGCTGGATAGGGCTGCCCCTGTGGCCTCCATGGCAAAGTTTTGCTGCTGCTCTTCCTTCAGTTATCCCTCCTGTTGGCAACAAGCACATCCATTAAATATGGACTGCACCTCAAACTGAGCTCCAATAGGCAACAACAACATCCAGGACCACTTGTCAAGGTGTAGCGCTATGAAAGGAACATATTCAATCACTCTCAGCTTTTAAGAAGGGATTCTTCACAGAAGGCCCACATTGTGTGATACCAAGCCTGGGCTCAGACCTGTCACACAGGTGGAACGAACTCCAATGAAGAGATTCCACCTTGGCCTTAAGGGGCGGCAGGAATTTGGGCATGGTTTCTTCCTAGTGCTCCTGCACTCTAGGTGTAAGTTGTGGCCCCCTTTTGGTCACCAGGCATTTTCTCATTCTCCAGGGAAGAAAGTTAACATGACAAATTAACCCACAAGGCTCAGCAAGAGTGAATACTCAGTGATAGCTTGGTCCCCAAGGACTATGAGAGTCAGTTGAGGGAGGCAGCATTTCACCAGCAATCATAATGCAGGTGCACATGGAGCATAACACCTAGATTCCCCTTCT